GAGCAGGGAAATATGGGGCAGGAAGGAGGCACGTGGGAGCAGAGGGGACATATGGGGCTGGGGGGGGACTTAGGGGGCGGGAGGGGCTATATGGGGCCGAGGGGCACATGTGCATAAAGGGAACATATAGATCAGGGGGGCTGTGGGGACGGGAGGGGAAGGGGACAGGGGCAACATAGAGGCTTCCTGTAGGGGAAGTGGCCCTGTGGGGCACGAGGTGGCCCTGTGGGGCACGGGGACGCCCTATGGGGCACGGGGAGGCCCTGTGGGGCACGGGGACGCCCTATGGGGCACGGGGAGGCCCTGTGGGGCACGAGGTGGCCCTGTGGGGCACGGGGACGCCCTATGGGGCACGGGGGGGCCCTATGGGGCACGGGGGGGCACACAGGGGACCGGAACAGTCACATGTGGGGCCGTATAGGGGTCAGCGGGACCCTATGGGCCAGGGTGGCCACGGGAGGCAGCGGTGGCCACGAGGACAAGGGGTGGCCCCCGAGCCCGGGGGGGTCCCAGGTGGCCGTGGGGACCTGGGGGTGGCCCCGTGCCCCCCCCAACGTGTCGCCCACCCGGGGGGCTCCCCAGAGCATCCCCTTCTCCGGCTACATCTTCGGTGGCATCGGCCCGGGCAAGAACATCGTCATCCAGGGCCAGGTGGCCGTGGGGGCCAAGAGGTGGGAGCGGGGGGCGCCCGCCCCACTGCGCGGGGCGCGGGGCGTCTGGGGGTGCCCACGCTGTGTACATGGGGTGCTAGAGCAGGATGGGGGGCACCCTGTGGCAATGGGGGCTGATGCACGGGGGGGTTCCACCCTATTGATTTGGGTGCTGCTGCATGGGGGGGGAAGGATTCCACCCCATTGCAGTGGGTGCTGATGCATGGAAGGGAGTCACCCCATTGCAATGGGTGCTGGTGCATTGGGGGGGAAGGGTGTCACCCCATTGCAATGGGTTCTGGTGCTTGGGGAAGGGGGGTTCCACCCCATTGCAGTGGGTGCTGGTGCATTGGGGGGAGGGTCACCCCATTGCAGTGGGTGCTGATGCACGGGGGGGTTCCACCTGGTGCATGGAGGGGTTCCACCCCATTGCAATGGGTGCTGGTGCATGAAAGGGAGTCACCCCATTGCAGTGGGTGCTGGTGCATTGGGGGGTCACCCCATTGCAATGGGTGCTGCTGCACGGGGGGGTTCCACCCTATTGAATTGGGTGCTGCTGCATGGGGGGGGAAGGATTCCACCCCATTGCAGTGGGTGCTGGTGCATTGGGGGGGAAGGATTCCACCCCATTGCAATGGGTGCTGGTGCTTGGGGAAGGGGGTCACCCCATTGCAGTGGGTGCTGGTGCTTGGGGAAGGGGGTCACTCCATTGCAATGGGTGCTGGTGCATTGGGGGGGGTCACCCCATTGCAGTGGGTGCTGGTGCTTGGGGAAGGGGGTCACCCCATTGCAATGGGTGCTGGTGCTTGGGGAAGGGGGTCAC